TCAAATGGTAGTGCCTGCTTCACAACTGTGAGGCTCTGAATTCAAACTCCAGCATGGCCCAGAAAGAAAATATGGGGGAAAAAATCTAATTCTTTCATTTTGAGAATAGCCTCTTCCAAAACTGTTAATATATGTATCAAACTATGAAAGTACATCTTTTTTTGTCCGGGGTGGAAAGCACACTAAAATTACTATGGGACTTACAGTTTACTGGTCTTGCTTTACATGTGTTATTTATTTATCAGCAAGACAGCTACTTCAGAACAGGGTTACTTATGATTCAGAACATCCACATTACAAAGAATCTTAATCTCCCAGTGAACAATGAGTTAATCAAGTATCAGAAAAAACAAGCTGACTAGGATGCAATTATGTTCCAATTTCACCAAAGTTTTTATAAAACTGTCTTACATATTCATCAAATTACACACTTAAGATTTGTGCATTTCACTGTGCTTTTCACAGTGACATAGATTAGCAATTCTGAAATTACTTTTTTCCTACTTTAGACTGAAGCAAACACATTAATTATATTGAGGATACAGACAGCGAGGGTTCTTTAAAGGAGTTACAAATATGAGAAGAGGGAGACAAGAATCCACCTTACAGTGCTGGGCTTAGAATTAAAGGTACCAGTAAGAACTTGTGGTTTTTCACTATATAAGATAAATATATATTTATATAGGATATGACATGAGAGTTGTATAAGTGTATAACACATTTGTGTCTATGAGTATGTGTATGTACATAAACTTACACAAAGATAGAAGTATAAGCACTTGAATCTATGCATAGATTCATGTATAATATCTATATACATATATCTACATATCTATACAGACATATACACATTTGAGTGTGTTTATTATTCAGGTATGTCTGCTGAGAAGGCCAGGAAGCAATGACACCAAAGTAGCAATAAGCATACCCAACATTTAGACCTTCATTTGTAAAAAACATTCTCTATTAAAAGGAACCAGGGAGAAGCAGCTGATTCCAGAGCTAGGACAGAGAAAGCATCAGATGAGCCAGTGTAGTAGGTAGAACTGTGTCTTGCAAAAAGATATGTCTAAGACCTAACCTTAGGTAACTCTGAACGGACCTTACTTGGAGATAGCCTGCGCAGATATAAGGTGAGGTCATACTGAATTGGAGGGGGTCCTAAATCCAATGACTGGTGTCATTATAAGAGAAAGAAAGGGGGCGGGGGGGAGGAGAAATGAACCAAGCCTTGTATGCACATATGAATAATTAAAAAAAAAAAAGAGAGAAAGAAAAGTGAGGGCTGTGGGTGTGACTCAAGTGGTGGAGCACCTGCCCAGCAAGCATAAAGCCAAGTTCAAACCCTAATATACCTAAAAGGGAAGGGGGGGGTGGGCAGGCAGTGGAGGTAGAAGATTAAATATAAAAACACAAGGAAGAACATGTGAAAAAAGCAGATATTGAAGCTAGGCTGTCACAAAGCCAAAGAAGCCAAGAAGCTGGAAGAGGCACAGAAGGATTCTTCTCCACAACCTTCACTGAGAGCAATCAGACTTCTCTCCAGAACTGAGAATAAATTTCTGTTGTTGTGGTACTTTGTTATATTAATCTAAAAAAACTAATACAGCTTGGAACATCTTGTGTCAGAAAGTGAGAAAATTGGGGGCTGGGTGTGTAGCTCAAATTAAACCTGGGGCCTCATATGACAGGCATATTTGTTTAGCACAGGAGAGGCCCTGGGTTCAATTCCCAGTACCAAAAAAAAAAAAAAAAAAAAACAGAGAGAGAGAGAGAAAATGGAAGCAAGGCATGACAGCAAAAGCCTACTGTTCCAGCAGAAAGTTGAAGAAGGAGGATCATGAGCTTGAGGCTAGCCTGGGCTATACAGTGAGATCCTGTCTCATTAGCACAGGAAAAAAAAAGGTGAGAAAATGCTCCAAGAATGATAAGGACATATGAAAATAACAGGAGCCATCTTGAAGGATCTTTTAGTGGCCAAATAAATTATTTTAATGGATTATATTCCACTGAATAAGATAGAAATCCATAAATCTATACTGATATAAACACATGAGTATTGGGAAAGGCAATCCACCATAGGCCTTCTTATTCAGTAGACCAGGCCCTGACCACTGACTACCTAGACCATTTCTCAGAATTGTGCATGCAGCAAGCCACCTTCAGGGATAAGGTAACATCTCTCCAGGCCCTGTCAAAGAACAAGCTTGCCTCCACCTGCTATAAAGTGATGAAAATCCATAGCTTAGTGCTCCTTCCCTATAGCACAACCCATGGCATATGCAGAAATCCAAATGACCCACCTGTGTTATCCCTGTGGGACTTGGGGGGCATGAGAAATCAATGCAAACCAAATGACATTCATGCATTTTGCTGTACCATGAATAATAAAGTCTTTTGGCTCCAACCCAGGGGTCTTATCCCTCCTGACAGCATCTAAGAAACAGTTAATAGGCTAACTTAACTTGTAAGCAGGGTAAAATCTCAGACCTTTCATAATTCTTGACAATGAATAAACAAATGGTGGGAGGAAAAGGGAAAACCTCTCCTTACAGTTGAATGCTAAATAATAAATGCAGAAGAAATTATGAAGTTATAAAATTAGAAAGTGATATCTGATAGGAAAATAATACATATATAGTCTCAAAGTGTCTTCCAACAAACTAGTCATCAATTACAAAGAAAAAAAAACAGGAGGTTTTTGGTAGAGAAATCTGGCAGATACCACCATTACTCAAGTGATCGAAGTTAATATCACCAATATTGCAACAAACAGATATTATGTATTTCTGGTATATTATACTGAGGATACAATTCTGTTACTCCTCCTAAAAATGTACAGCCAGAACCTAATTATAAGGAACTATCAAGCAAACCCAAAATAAGGGACACTCTTAAACAACTGCTCTATGCTCTTTGTAAATACCACAGGCAAGAAAGAGAAAGCCTGAGATTCCAGATCAAAGGTGATAAAGACACATGACAAATAAATACAATGCATGAACCTAGATTAGATCATAGATTCCAGCTTTAGGAAATAACTACAAAGGACATTATTAAGTTAAATGATAAATCTGAATATAGCCTGAAGATTCAACAATAATGCTGAATCAATGTTGAAAATCCTGATTTTGACAATTAAAATGCAGTTACATAAGGGAAGGTCTTTGTTCTTAGAAGTTATGGTTATATAACGAAAGGTCTTAGAAAATACTGAAGTATTTAGTGGTAACAGGACATGATTATTTTCAACTTATCTCAAACAGCATAGAAAAGTTTATAAATACATGTGTGTTACATGTATGTGTGTATGTGTGTCTAAATAGGGAAAATGATAAAGCAAATGTAACCAGTACATCTAGATAAAGGCCATATAGAAATTCCTTGTACTATATCAAAATTAAAACTTACCTTCCACTGTCAAAAAAAACAAAAAAGGCAAAAGAGTTGTCTTGATTATGTTACACACTGAACAACACATAAGATAAAATGCAAAATAAAACACAAAGATAGCATTTTAAACTTCAGGCTATCAGGTAGCTTTGACAAAAGTAATAACTACTTGAATTTTTATACACATATGGACACATAAGTTTACATGGAATATATGTATATGTGTACATATATGTATTTCAAGTGTCAACTCTAGTGAGCGTCTGACTCATTTAATGTTAGGTCCAAATCTCAATGCCATCATTTGTGACTTGCTAATTTCAAGCAAGTTACTATTCACTGCCTCAATGTCCCAATTTTTAAAATGTAAACAATAGTAGTTTCTAACTCTTAAGATTTTTATGGCAATCTCAAAGAACAACACATGTAAAGAACTCAGCACATTTACAAGTGTTGTCCTTATTTCATTTTTTTTTAAGTAAATATAAAAAGAAAATTATTCTTTTTGTTTGTGTTGGGTATTGGAAGTTAAACCCAGGGCCTCAAGTTTGCTAAGCAAGTTCCTGATCATTAAGCTACATCCTCTGCCCATGAAAATTATCTTTCTGATACTGAGGTTATGATATGCCTCCTAACAGTCTAAAAGCAAAGAGGGGAAGAAAGCTGAGACAAAAACAACCTCAAGCTGTATTAACTGAAAATTAAAATGCATATGAAACATAAAATTTCTTGTTACAACCAGATCCCAGTGTTAAAATATTATTAGAATAATATATTATTTTTTAGTGGTATTAAGGTTTAAACTCAGGGCTTCATTCTTGCTAATGGTTCTTACCACTTGAGCCACTCTGCCAGTCCTAGAATAATGCATTAAATAAGTCATTATATTCAATCCCCAGCACCCCTACCAAAAAAAAAGAAAAAAGTCATTTTTTTTCCTCTGGAACTGGGGTTTGAACTGAGAGCATCACCCTTGCCATTGCTTGAGCTATGCCTCCAGCCCTTTTTGCTTTTGTCATTTTGGAGATAAGGTCTCACTTTTTGCACAGGTCAACCTGAACTGCAATCCTCCTGTTTTATGTTTCCTGCAGTTGCTGGGATGACTGGCACACATCACTATACGCAGTTTTTTTTTTTTTCCACTGAGAATGAGAACTTCATTGCCCAGACTGGCCTGGAACCACCATCCTCCCATTCTCAGCCTCCCAAGTAGCTTGTCATGACAGGTATATGCCACTGTATCCAGCTATTGAGATGGGATCTCACAAACTGTTTGCCCAGGCTGGTCTTGCTTAAACTCGCACAGAAGGTGCTCATTAAAAAAAAACCCAAAAGAAATTTTCCTTTTCCCAGGATAACAATGATCTTAAGATAAACTCTTTCAAATTCTGAAATGAGTTGATTTTAAAAGTTTCTCTAAAATTCAGAGTTCTCAGCCCTAGTAGCTGGTTATGTTAATATTTAAACAACAGTATCCTCATATAAATAATGCAATAATGTCATAATCTTTTGAGAAAGTAAAATTTATGTCAAAACTTAAGTTTTAAACATTTGTTTGAGAAAAAGTTAGTGTTTAGAAAATATTATGTATAATCATTAAGTCTTACCTGAGGATTCCAACCTGGATCTAATTTCTTAACTGCTGCAATATATTCCTGCATTGCTTGGCTGGGGCTTGAGTCACCAAGTGCTTTCCATGCTTCCCTATAGTACAGAATATCAAAAATGGCAAATAACATAAACAGTGTATTTCTGTTTATTATTAAAATTTTGCATATACATTACAACGGTTTGAGGATATAGATACAATAAGCTATGCATAGAGGATCCCTCTCTTTCCACATTTACATTGATCTACAGCAATATACAACTTATCCCTTCACCTATGAAGTCTATTTGAAAAATTTTTTTCCTAATTGTCCTCTCTCATGAAATTTCCATAACACATACATTGGACATCTGTTGAATTTTGTAAGATCACAGACCACTGTAATGTAAGATTTTAATCACTTCTCCTAATCCAATTTTCACCCCTATTGAGAAAGAGCCTACAGAATAATAGAGGTAATTCCCACCTTAGGAATTAACTATGCTTATGATATGTCGGTAGTCTGGAAACTAATCTTCACACAAGAAACAATAGTCCTGGGGAAAATGAATCAAACTCCTTACTCAAGTTGTGAGAAATCCATCTTTCCCTTCTGCTGTTATCTCATCTACAAACTACTAGAAGCCCATTTTGAGGCTTAGGTTAGCATCTTCAAAAATGAGAGATGGTGACAGCAGAATGAAGAATACTGGTGAGTACGGAGGAAGAAATTTTTGATAGCATAAACACCAAGAGTAACATTTTGGTCCTGAGCCCTTCCTTCTTCTCTGCAGACTGCCAGGACAGGCCTCCTTGGTTTTCCCTACCAATCCTTTCTACTTCCAACCAGGTTTCTCTTTTTACTGATCCACTGTAAAACAGAACCTAGTCCATGTTTCTTATTATCTTTCTACTCCTATGATGAAAATGACATCTCAGGTTTTTTTTAGGGGTGGGGGGGCAGTGTGGTACTGGGGTTTGAACTCAGGGCCTCATGCTTGCTAGGCAGGTGCTCTACTACTTGAGGCACTCTGCCAGCCCATTTTTTGTGATGGGGTTTTTCAAGATTGAGTCTGGCAAACTATTTGCCCAGGCTTGCTGTGAACCATAATCCTCCTGATCTCTATCTCCTAATTAGCTAGGATTACAGGCATAAGAAATAGGTGCCAAACTAAATTTTCTTTCACTGAATCTCTTGATATTTACTTGTATACATCGTAACACTTCATCCCTAAATATATCAATTTATATCAAACACATGAAATTTACCAATACTATAATATAGAGACCAAATATTCAGATTCTCTGATTATTCAAATGTCTTTCTTCTCCCAGACTAGAAGCCAATCATGATACACATAGTGTTCATATATCTTTTGCCTTTTTGTCTTTTTTTAGGAATCAAAACCAATTGTTTTATGAAATACCCCTCAATGTGGATTTGTCTGATTGTTTCCTCATATACAAAGTATTCTTGAGAAAATGATTAATTATGACTGAAATCAGGCAGACATTTCAGCAAAAGCAACATATAAGTGACATGTCCTTTACAATGCATCACATTGTGGGCACCTGATGTCAGTCTGTCCCATCATTAATATGACTGATGAACTGGTGATAATGGCATATTTGCCAGTTTTTTCCTTCATGATTAATAAGAAAACTGTGGGTCAGACTGTATAAATATTCTTCTCCAATAGTGTTTCATATAATGTTTTAGCCTTCCATGAAGATTCTTGCCTCAATTATTATTAAGATAGCTATAAAATCTAAACTTTTTTAATTTTTAAAAACAATGGAGAGGATTGGAGATGTGGCTCAAGCAGCATAGCGCCTGCTATGCAAGCGCAAAGCCCTAAGTTCAAAACCCCAGTACTGCCAAAAAAAAAATAGTGAAGTTATAAAACAATAAAACTTACAATAACAGTTATATCAGGTATACGCTAGAGCAGTCATAAAATGCCAGAGAACTGTTTATCACCAGCAAGGAAAACTTGTACCAGAATGTAAATCAAAGCACTGCTTTCAATACCACTCTTGGGGATATACCCAAAAGACTGTGACACAGGTTACTCCAGAGGCACCTGCACACCCACGTTTATTGCAGCACTATTCACAATAGCCAAGTTATGGAAACAGCCAAGATGCCCCACTACTGACGAATGGATCAAGAAAATGTGGTATTTATACACAATGGAATTTTATGCAGCCATGAAGAAGAATGAAATGTTATCATTCACTGGTAAATGGATGGAACTGGAGAACATCATTCTGAGTGAGGTTAGCCTGGCCCAAAAGACCAAAAATCGTATGTTCTCCCTCATATTCGGACATTAGATCAAGGGCAAACACAACAAGGGGATTGGACTTTGATCACATGATAAAGCGAGAGCACACAAGGGAGGTGTGAGGATAGGTAAGACACCTAAAAAATTAGCTAGCATTTGTTGCCCTCAATGCAGAGAACTAAAACAGATACCTTAAAAGCAACTGAGGCCAACAGGAGAAGGGGACCAGGAACTAGAGAAAAGGTTAGATCCAAAAGAATTAACGTAGAAGGTAACACACATGTACAGGAAATCAATACGAGTCAACTCTCTGTATAACTATCCTTATCTCAACCAGCAAAAACCCTTTTCCTTCCTATTATTGCTTATACTCTCTCTTCAACAAAATTAGAGATAAGGGCAAAATAGTTTCTGCCAGGTATCAAGGGGGTGGGGGGGAGAGGGAGGGGGCGGAGTGGGTGGTAAGGGAGGGGGTGAGGGCAGGGGGGAGAAATAACCCAAGCATTGTATGCACATATGAATAATAAAAAAAAAAATTTTTTTTAAAAAGTACTGCTTTCTTCACTGAGAATGTTCTATAAAAACATGACAGCTGAACTAAAGAGTACGGTTAGCAACATAGCAATTTATATCCAGCTTTAAATTTGGTTCCTCCTTACAGCGGGCAGACAGTTAACTTGTCCAGGGTACCACATATCGTGCTCAACTATGGTAGAAGGTAGAGTCAGAATCCATCTTTTAGCACTTTCTCTTTCTACGATCATTACTTTTTTTTAAACTCTACCCTCAATACTTATTTTAATTCCAGGACAAATGCTGCAAAGTCTTTCCTTCTATAACTAAAGTTTCTATCACATATAATTTCTCTTTTTCACTTAAACCAGGTTAAGAAAAAATAAGGCCTCACAAATGAGATGAGGGAACCTCTAAATTGTGAGTTTAAAGTTGGGGAGAATATAATCTTTACGTATTCAGAAGTGTAGTGAGTCAGCATCTGGCTCTGGATTTTTCCCCCTTCTTCCCAAGAAATTATTATAAGCATTTCTTTTCTATGGTGTGGGTAAGGCAAGGAACAGAAGAATGGCAAGTTAAGAAGACAAAATTGGGTTAGAGGAGAAGAGGATGAAATGGGAATTTATCCCATTCTCACCTCCATCCTCTTGACTTTCTCTTAAAGACTCCTCCAGAAGGGAGAGTAGTGATCTACTAGCAGCTACATAGGAGGAGAGAAAATGCCAAAGCAGTAGTCCTTACATATTCTTGTATAAGGAAAGCATGTCTTTTATAAGCTACCAACATCATTGCACATGAATCCTTTAGGAGACTTAGCTAAAAGAGGATTCTTTTAATCCTTCTCCCAACTGCCTGCCCTCTGCACAGACAACAACAGAAAGATTAATGTAACAATCACTCTTTAATCTGCTTCCTTCTTTCTAATTCCTAAACACCTAAATCATTTCCAACAACTTCATTAAAGATTCCAAGAATTTCTTACCATTTTTGCTTTCCTTCAAAATCAAAGAAGCTTGGTTTAGGAGTATTGCAATTCCCAACTTTGACCTAAGAGGTGGGGGGAAAAAGAAATCAAGAACTTATTTTTCCAAGAATTGTCTGAAAACATTTTCTTTTCAACCTGAGTATATATAATTAGTAACTACAGTTTAGAAAATATTTGCATCTACAAAGACACAAAATTTAGCATTTTTGCAAAAGTGAACAAACAAAAACTCCCAAACAAACCAAACTTTAAATTACAGGCAGCTTTGCCTTACTATATAATACAACTGTTATCTAAATACTATAATACAGAAAAAAATGAGTGACAAAATAGTTGCATTTCTAAATTAGACTGATTATAAGCCAAATTATAAATAGATTATGGCCTATATTGCCATTATAATAGAGAAGAATTTTTAAACATAGCAACTGATAAAACTTTAAAGTTCAGTTTTTCAGACTGGGCACTGGTGGCTCATGCCTGTAATCCTAGCTACTCAAGAATCAGAGATCAGGAGGATCAAGGTTTGAAGCCAGCCTGGGGAAATATTTCCAGAGACCCAGTTTAAAAAAAAAAAAAAAAACCACACACAAAAAAAAGGTGCAGTGAGGTTGGGGGGAGGGGGGACTAGTGGAGTGACTGGAGCCTGTAGGCCCCAGTACCACAAAAAAAAAGTTCAGTTTTTCAGAATTTATAATACTATTTCTTCATGTTGATTCTCATAACACTAGTAGCTTTTTCTCTCCCTCAAATTCCAGGAGAGATATTTTTACAAACGGCCCTTCTATGAAACTTATAGATGCCAAAATCCACACACAAAAAATTTCAGGGATCTTAACAACAATATAAATTCTATCAATTTCACAATAATCTTCTTTCCTGTTGGTCAATACCTGTTTTTAATCCTCAAATGATATTTATGGTTAAATTATAGATTATTTTTATTGTGATTACTGCAAAAATGAAATCCACACAGTGCAAAATAAACTATACAAGGCCCTGATTGCCACTGCCAGAAGTAATCTCCCCTCTTTATGAACTTTTTTTTTTTCTGTGGTACTGGGGCTTGAACTCAGGGCTTTCGTTTCCAAAGCAGGTGTCCTACTGCTTAAGCCATACCTCCCGTCTGTTTTGTTCTGGTTATCTTGGAGGTGGGGAGAGTGGGGGTCTTGCAAACTACTTGCCCAGGCTGGCCTCGAACCTCAATCCTCCCAATCTCAGCCTCCCAAGTAGTTAGGACTATAGACATGAGCCCCTGGCACCAGCTCCTTATGAACTCTTAATAGTACTTACTCTATACATCTCTTATGGATTTTCACATTTTCTACTTGTGTTGGAACATTTTATATGAAGTCTCATCTATTATATCAGAGCCTCTAAGAAACCGTCTTTAACTCACCACAGCACCTACCTACTTCTCAGGAGACTTCCCACTACTTCCTATTACTTGCACGCTTGAATTCTGCTAAAAACCAAACCAATACCTTCATTTAAACATACTGATCTGTATACAACTCACTGCCTTAGGGACTTTCAGTTCTGTGTTTTGCTCCTAGCTCCTATTGTTCCACTCAGCTGAAATGCCTTGCCTTCGCTTTTTTCCCTCAGCAATTTGTGTGTGTGTGTGTGTGTGTGTGTATTGGGGTTTGAATTCAGGTCCTACACCTTGAGCCACTCTGCCAGCCCTTTAGGATTTTTTTTTTTTTTTTTTTTAGATAAAGTCTCTCGAACTATTTGCCCAGGCTGGCTTCAAACCACGATCCTCCTGATCTCTGCCTGCTGCAACAACTCCTTCCAGTCTCACTCAAAGTTCAGATTCTAAGAATCTTTTCAGTCTACCATGATTTCATCCACCTCCGAATTCATTTAAGAAAAAACAAAAACAAAAAAAACTTCTACCATTTCCTTAGCAGTTCCTTCTATAGGAACAGCTCTGTTATGATGGGATGGAGAAAAGAAAGGATAAGAGAAAAAGCACTGTATTTCTTGAACAATCACCACAGATCAAACACTGTGCATGTTACCTCAAGCGCCACACAATAATCCTGTGAGGTACGCCATACAAACTCATGAGGAAGAGGTGTGGCTGAAGCAGCAGAGTGCCTGCTTTGCAAGTGAGAAGCCCTGAGTTCAAACTTCAGTTCCACTAATGGGGTGAGGGAGAGGGGGAGTAATTCATAAGGATAAAAGAAGTCCAAGAGTGTTATCTCAATTCACACATTAGTAAATCTTGAGTACACAGTCAGGATTTGAATCCAGGCCTGTTTGACTCAGATCTAAATTCTAATATCCTTTGAAGTCTAACATTCCTTCATTACTTCATCCTGCCTTACATCTAGATTTCAGTTCTGGCATCTCTAAAATTATACAAACTACTAGACTGGTAGAAATATGAAATGAGATAAACTGTACAAACTGTAAGACATCACAAAAATAGCAGTTATTACTATTTTTGTTTTGGGTTCTGTTTGATCCAGACACCAGTCAGTAGCAGAAATAAATACAGGTATCTGTTATTTCTCCTACAGTGATGGTCTCAGCTGCCACAGGTCATCCAAATGAACAGTACCTGAGGCCAAACAACTGCTGTCTAAATTCTAGGAATTAGATGCATGTGAAAGCTATAAAATATTTTCCTTAAAAAAAAAAAAAAATAGGGGCTTGTCCTCCCCTTTTCCTTTGCCCTGGCAAGAACACATGTATAATAAGCCTCTCTCTCACAATCAAAGGAGGACTTGGGGCAGGAGTTCTCAAACTTTTTGGTCTTATAATCCTTCTACACACTGAGAAATTAAGAGCTACCAAGAACTTTGAGATATATGGATTATATCTATCAATATGTACATATTAGAAATTAAAATGAACATTTAAAAATACATATTCATTTGAAAAAAACCTATTACATGTTAACTTAAATAACAAAATTTTATAAAAAATATCTAAGCTGAAAAAATAGTGAGAAACAGCACTGTTTTACATTTTGCAAATCTCTTTAAAGTCTCACACAGTTGTAATTGTCATACTTCTGCATCCAATCTATTGCTATTTAATGCTTTGGCTGAAGTATACAAAGAAAATTTGGCACCAAACAAATACATTGTTAGAAAAGAGAGAAGTATTTTGGTAGCATTTCCAGATCACCATGGATATTCTTTTGTATTACACCAAAACTCAACAAGTGATAGTGTTAAGGTCAGTTACAACGTGGAATCTGAACTTACATCAAAGTTTTCATTCTGTTACACTGACAACCACTGGTCTGGTTTGCACTTTGAATGGATCTTTTACCCACACATGATCTATAACATTACCTCATGAAATATTTAGAAAATACAGTTTACTGAGTTATGCAGACTTGCCAAATGTTGACATATTTTATTATTCATTAGCAAAATTGCTACCACTTACCAAAAAAACTTTTTTTTAAGTACTGGGAAGCTGTTTGAGCTCATGGTGGCAGATACAGATTTTCCAAAGTTCTAAAATTTTCACTTAAAGACTCAAATGTTATCACTGGCAACAATTATTTATAGTTGTTTTCCTTTAAGAGACAGGTTTACATTTTTCATTCTCAAGAAATTCTCTGCTGAATACCCAAATTTGAATAGACATAGTTTATATGAATTATTCTGTTAAGTACAAATGATGTACCATGGGAAAAAAAGTGGATTGTTCAGTTTGCCACTCAGAAATTATACCAAAAACAGCCAATGTGTTCAAACACCAGTCCCATCAGAAACAACAAAAATAGCCCATGTAATTCAGTATGCAGAAGTGCCTATGTGCACCTGTCATTTTATCACACACAATGTTAAAAATGTGTACTCAAGGGTTAATACTAGGGCTGGTGGAGTGGCTCAAGTGGTAAAGCGTCTGCCTAGCAAGTATGAAGCCCTAAGTTCAAGCCCCAGTGCCAAGGGAAAAAAAAAAAAAAAGCCAAGGGTTAATACTAAATAAATAACTTTTATTGCTTCAAAACATTTTAAGTGAAACTGGCATTTTTAGTTTTCTCTGAGTACATGGTAGTAAAAAAATATGACTACTAATATAGTTTGGTGCAACCACCTAATGCTAAGACATCAGCAATTTGATCCACCATGACAGGAGAGAAAAGACAGTGTCTTCATATTATTGTGAAAATAGATTTGACCTATGGTCAAGATTTCCCTGAGGAAATCTTGGGATACATATGGATCCACGGACTACAATTTGAGAACTGCTGCCTTAGGGGATGGCTAAACTATAGACAGAAAAGGCAAAAGCCCTAGATGATCCATGAAGCACAGCCACCAGACCAGCTCTACATCTTCCTCCAAATCACTGTGTGAGATGAAAATAAAGGCTAACCCTGCATCCTAACTGAAATAAAAGCTTCTATAATTCACAAGTTCAAAGAATTGTTCTCCATCTAGAAGACTAGGAAAATAAAACTCAAGATTTTAGGACATCATGGACAGCAGTTTCCAAATCATTAGATAATGAATCATGAACTACAAAGCAGAGGTATATTCCACTTTTTACCAGAGCATCTAAACTCTGCTCTGAGATAAAGACAGGTATACAGATGTAAAATGTATCTAAGAGTCCTTGAGACAAAATACTTCAACAAAGGTTGCCAATGACAAATGCCAGAGAATCAGGTGTGCCCAGGTTAAAATAGAAGGATATGCAGGGCATCTTTACTTGTGCTAGTGCTGAAGGCTTTTATAAAATGAACCCAACAAGAATTTGAAATGTTCATTACCCTATGGTTTCCACAGGTGTCAATTAGTTAATCTTCTGCTGAGAGACTGTAAGCTAATACATAGAAGGAAACACTGTTAACTGGCTTGATCTTTTTGAAACTTTGGTTTAAAAAGATGATTTCTGAAGCCATGGGCATACCTGACTAAAAGAGCTATTATACTAGGTTACTTTGGAGCTCTGCCTAAGAAAATAAGGTTCAGCTCTCAGTTTATAACATTTCCTACCAATAGTCTTACCTCATTTAGCCTACAAAATAAAGTGTTAATCCAAGCAGGAAAAGTTAAAATTTTATGGGAAATTTTGATCCATTATATAGGAATTACTTGGATTTTCAACTTTAGTACTCTGTCAAAGATGCTATTTTAACACTATCTCAGAATCCTATCAAGAATAAAATATTAGAAGAGATTGAACATTATGAACGATCCCCCCCAATCATATCTAAGGAAACACATATTCTTATTCTCTAATAACAAATGAATTTTGTTTTCAGATTTACAAACTTCTAAACATCCTAAGGTGAAGTTCTTGAAAGAGTGAAGGACAGTCCTCCTTCAGACTACTTTATATGGATGAAGTGAGTACACCTGAGACAGCTGACAAGTAGGTGACAGGTAGTTCACTTACAACTTGAAAATCAGATGCTGAATCATGACACTAACAAAAATTTGACAATAAATAAAGATATGTCCAAAGAAAATAATGTTCTCTAGGAAACTGGAGTAAAATTAGTCTTATACTGCCCAGAGAATCATCTGTCAGACATGCTATAGGTCCTAGCACAGTGCTTAATAAATAGTTGTTCAATATTCAAAGGTTTCTTTCTAATGTTATTAGGACATCATAAATAACCACAAAGAAAACAGACATGTAGAACTTTGGCAAGAAAGCTAATTCCAAGGCCAGTTTGAGACTGACTTTCACTGAATGCTATAATTTATACCACTTGTACCTGCAGCTGTATCTCTCAGGTCATATTTACTGACAGTTACATTACTCATCAGTCTTCAAATAAAGATTTGTTTCAATTCAAAACATTCTGCTTAAAAATACAGGAGAAGGGCTGGCAGAGTGGCTCAAGTGGTAGAGTGCCTGCTTAGCAAGCATGCGACCCTGAGTTCAAACCCCAGTACCACCAAAAAAAACCACAAAAAACAAAATTTAAAAACTACAGGAGGATCCTACACAACTGTGTTTAAAAAAAAAAAGAATACAGGGGAAAATAGGTAATTATACCGAGAGGCAAAAACAATTCAAATTTTTAAATAAAACAAGTAGTCTATTATCCAGAACATCATTTCCTCCAGTATCCCAAACAGCTGGAGGTTTCCTATGCTGTTGTAAGTCTTGCCAGTGATTTTTCACATCTTTAAATCTAGATAAGAGGCTTATCTTATAAGCCTCTTAAGGGCGTGTCATGATGCCTTTTTTCTTTTCATTCTCTGTAGATATAATAACCCAAGTGTTTTCCACATAAAAGATGAACAATATTTGTTGACTATAATAAAGCATTTTTCCTTCTGATACTTAACCAATGACTACTTTTTTGGTTCTGGTGGGATGGGATTTGAACTCAGGACTTTGTGCTTGCAAAGCAGGTGCTTTACCACTTGAGCCACACCTCCAGTCTCCAATGACTCCTTGAATGACAAAGATGCCTTTTATGGGTCAGTCACACATTTCCATGTTTCCAGGTAAACCTCAAAGCCTTAGAAGCTATAATCTAGTTCTGGCTGATATGAGACTCTAAGCAAGTTGCCTACTCTTCTGGTTTTGTTGTTGTTATTGATTTTTTTTTTTTTTTGTAAAAGAAGGGGATTCAGGAGGCTGAGGATCAAGGAGGATCACTTGAGCACAGGAATTCAACATCAACCTGAGCAACACAGTGAGCAGTTTCTTAAAATGGGATTATTTCATCTGATGTTCACTAGCTCTAAATATTTTTTTTGCCTTTCAAAAAAGAGTTTAATAAATATACAGTAGGTAGAGTTATAACAGAAAAAGTTTATGATTATATACAACAGACAGAAACATAAGATACTTAGGGTTTAAAAATAATCACAGTAAACCGGTGGCTCGCACCTGTAATCCTAACTACTCAGGAGGCAGAGATCTGGAGAATCAAGGTTCAAAGCCAGCCTGGGCAAATAGTTCCCAAGACCCTATCTCAAAAAATCCATCGCCAAAAAAAAAGGCTGGTGGAGTGGCTCAAGGTGTAGGCCCTGAGTTCAAACTCCAGTACCGCAAAACTAATCACAATAAAAATAACAATATTTTATTTATTACAATCGTTCTCTTAGGCCTTAAAAGTATTTTTATTAACATTACGGTATTTACTTCCATATGCCCCTCTGGCAAGAGAAAATAAATGGTAAATCTTATTCTATCATCCTCATTTTGCAAAGGTTCAGAGTTAAGTCAGAAAATACACAGAAAAACTGTCATTCGGTGACCAGCTAAATAAAAACCACTCCCGGGATGGACAGGAGTCAGACCTTCTCCATGTCCACAATGATGCGGACGGTCAAAAGTAAAGCAAAACACATACACAAACTTCATCCCACACAGCCATCAGCCATGCACGTCTGTTCCCAGCCTTTGGAGGAGGGAAACCCGAGTCCCCATTGCACCCACCCTGTCCTCCTCCTCACCTGCTTGTACCTGGCGTACAGGTACAACAGCTGCTCCCTGCTGGCCACCTGAACCAGGCCCTGGAGGTGCACGGCAGCCTTCTCAAACAGCTCGGCCAGGGTCCTGGACGGGTCGGTCTCCATGTCCCCAGAGTCGTCCCCTGAGCTCAGCTCTCCACCACTGTCGCCCGTGGTGGCCCCCGCGGGCAGAAGCGGAGTGGCCATGTCTCAGATCGGGTGCGACAGCGGCTGGCAGGCCTGGCCCACAAGTCGGGGTCCGGAGCCCGAGCTCGAGTCGGGACCCCAACTCGCTCAGCCCGCGCTCCCTCACGGAAATTGCTGCCTTGACACTTCGGCTTCCCGGGCGCGCAGGGCCAGCCCTACTCCCGGCTCTCTCCAGTTGCCTCGGTCTCCTCAGACTCTGGGGATTCCCGGGGGGTGAGGGTGGGGGTCCTCGGACGACTGCGGGATCCACAGACCGCTCAAATGGGAGCTAGAGCAGCACGCGCGGGGAGGCGGGCCGGCGGGGCCGGGCTCGGCGGCGTGAACGCGGGGCGGCGCGCGCCCGAGCACGCACCCGAGCACGCGCCTGCGGCTCCGCGCACCTGAGCTGCGCCGGGAAAAGAAGACGTGAGACCTTGCCGGAGGGACGCTGTTTGGGGAAACTTCTCTTAGACGTTGGGGTGTCCGTTAATCGTTTCGTTGAACTTAGTAGTCTCAAACTCCGGAACCCGTTACCGGGGCAGGCCACGGGGGAAGGGGAAGAAGCCGACCCACTCGCTGGTGTACCACTAGGAACGGAGTCGCGGGAAACAGGAAACTGAGGACAAAGGTTCCGCCCGCTCCTGACTACCCCGGATGATGTGCCAGGAACCAGCGCGCGTGCGCGTCGGATGCCTGAGAGTTTGATTTTGAGTAATAGTGGCTCACTGGAGATGGGACCTTCTTTGTCCTACCGTGTGAGTGACTGGAATTACTCCTCTCCGTGTCTTGCTCCTGCAGACCCCTCATCTCCCAGGGCTCTGAAAAAGGCTCTACGGAGACTCCCACCGCCTTCCTTAGCACATCTTCTGATCTCAGCCATGCTTGAAGACACCTTAACGTGAAACCCAGAACACGGAATAGCTCTGCCCCAGAGGAGCTAACAGACCTTTTCTGTTACCAGAATTATGCTAATCACCAGCAGATGGTCAAAAGGAAAAGCATAAAATACAAACTTCTTTACCCGCCTAGCCATTAACCATGCACGTCGGCTGTCAGCTTCTGGAGGATCCCCGTGTAAGAGATAACCTTCCCTACAAGGGACCTCTGGGACCTCACTGGCAAGGCACTTCTTGGAGAAACTGCCCTCAGGCATTGGAGTGTCCGTATCTGTAACATTGACAGAGTTAACATTTAAGAGTTACTATTATGTCCTAAATGTTGTAAAAAAAAAAATTCATTTAGCACTTAAAACACCAAGCACCACAGGATGTAACAGGTACCTAAGTTGCTTTTGCTGAAAAGCACTAACTCCCTACTTGGTCCCACGAGTTAACTAAAAGCAGGAGAAAAGCTTGGCAATCCTGCCTTTGTTTTGTATTTGTCTTTGCTCCTCTGCAGTCACTTTGCAATCATCTTGGGTTCCAGAAACATCGCCTTGGGTTCAATAACATCTGTAGGACAAGAGACTGAAAACTATCCCTAAGGAACAGCAGCGCCTTGCAGGATAGACCACCCCCCCTCCCAAAAAAATGAGGGCAGTTACCTATGATGTAGAGGCTACACCCTGGCGCAGTAGTAATCATCTCATGGGAACCAGGCTGTTCTTCTCAAGTGATGACAGAAATAATGACTTCTCCCAAACCTTTGGAGAACCAGAACTGAGATAATAACCAATCAACACGTTTTCTTTCCTTTTTTTTTTTTTGGTGGTACTGGGATTTGAACTCAGGGCTATCATATTTGCAAGGCAGGCACTCTACCATCTGAGCCACTGTGCCCGCCCTTTTTTGTGGTGGGTATTTTCAAGATAGGGTCTGGGTCTTTGTCTTATTAAATTAAAGAGATTACTTGTGTAAACTCCCAGGCCTTGTTGATATTTAGGGTGTGGATTATTCTTGAATAAAGAAAGGGTTGAGCTTTAAGTAAGTGGCTGACTTTAAGCATCTTGTGATATCCCCTGGCCTCTGGCTACTTGATCTTTTTTTTTTTTTTTTATTCATATGTGCATACAAGGCTTGGTTCATTTCTCCCCCCTGCCCCCACCCCCTCCCTTACCTCCCACTCCACCCCCTCCCTCTCCCCCCCCTCAATAACCAGCAGAAACTATTTTGCCCTTATTTCTAATTTTGTTGTAGAGAGAGTATAAGCAATAATAGGAAGGAACAAGGGGTTTTGCTGGTTGAGATAAGGATAGCTATACAGGGCATTGACTCACATTGATTTCCTGTGCGTGGGTGTTACCTTCTAGGTTAATTCCTTTTGATCTAACCTTTTCTCTAGTTCCTGGTCCCCTTCTCCTATTGGCCTCAGTTGCTTTAAGGTATCTGCTTTAGTTTCTCTGCATTAAGGGCAACAAATGCTAGCTAGTTTTTTAGGTGTCTTACCTATCCTCACCCCTCCCTTGTGTGCTCTCGCTTTTTATCATGTGCTCATAGTCCAATCCCCTTGTGTTTTGCCCTTGATCTAATGTCCACATATGAGGGAGAACATACGATTTTTGGTTTTTTGAGCCAGGCTAACCTCACTCAGAATGATGTTCTCCAATTCCATCCATTTACCAGCGAATGATAACATTTCGTTCTTCTTCATGGCTGCATAAAATTCCATTGTGTATAGATACCACATTTTCTTAATCCATTCGTCAGTGCTGGGGCATCTTGGCTGTTTCCATAACTTGGCTATTGTGAATAGTGCCGCAATAAAC